CACATCTCCCCATATCTCCCCACACCTCCCCACATCTCCCCACATCTCCCCACATCTCCCCGTATATCTCCCCGTATCTCCCCGTATCTCGGTAGAAGCGGAAGACGCGACTCTTGTACTCCATCTAGCGCTCGAGAGGCCACAGAGGGATTCAGCCGTGTTCGTTGTCTCCGTACCCCCTCGTACTCACGCGGTGCTCTGAATACACCGCGGTGCGGAATACACTGCACTCCCGCCCCGAGGTTGGCGTATTCAGCACGGTAGGCATGGGCGTCGGCGCGCGGCTCGCGCCAGGCAAGAGCCCGAGATTACCCGAGATTCCCCGAGATTGTGACGAGATTACGACGAGATTACCCGCGCACGAGTGCCCCCCCCCCCCCCCCCCCCTTGCCGCCGTCACACCCTCGCTGCTGCCCGCTCGCCGCCGATTGCCCTGCCTCACACCTCGCTGCTGCCCGCTCGCCGCCACGCCTGCCGCCACGCCTCGCCCTCGCCCTGCCCCTTCACCCCCTGGTGCGTGCCTCACACCCTCCCCTCCCCTCCGTGTCAGACGACGCCGGGCTGGCCAGCCTCGACAAGCGTGCGGAGGCGGCTAGGAGTACTGGTAGTAGCAGTAGTAGGCAGCTTGCTTCCCATCGTCGGACCCCCATCCTACCCCTCTAACCTATCCACACTCAAGCGACTGGCGACAGGAGATCTGGCTTATATAATCAAATCCACACGGGGACTGGGGGCGGCGGGAATAGCAGCACCAGTGCCAGAGGAAAGGGAAGGAGAGAGACGACAGACCGCGGCCGCGTGAGCAGGCGACGCGGCTCGAGCTCACGAAGCTTCTGCTCAAGAAGGCGCGCAGCTCCAAGAAGGTGTGTGGGACACCTTCCGAGACACTGTGTGCGGGAGAAACTGCGGCGGGAGGGGCAGGGAGGGGTAGGGAGGGGCGAGGGAGGGGCAGCGAGGGAGGGGGAGGGGCAGGGAGTGGCAGGGTGCGATTGCGCGTGTGTGCGGGAGTTGGGCTGTTGGGAGGGAGGGGCAGGGTCGCTCACCCGCCGTCCGTGGCCTTGCCCAGTGAATGCCGGGCCAGCTCCTGCCCCCGTGTCCGGGTGTAGATAGATGCGAGGGCTGCCTGGCCCTTGGCCCGCCACACCTTGTGCGTGCGGGGAGAAGCTTCCCTTCCCCCTTCCCCGCCCTTCCCGTAGGCGTCGGGCTTCTACCGCACCGTCCGGTACTCCACGTGCAAGTACTACGCGGAGGCGCGGGCAGCGTAGTGCCGTGCGCTCCTGACAGACACCTCGCCTGACCCCCCACACACTCTCGTCCGTGCCTCGCGGCCGGCGAGTCTGCTAGAGGCGCGGAGCAGCCTGCTCCAGCCCTCACGCGTGACGTGCCTGGTCGTGGGCGTTACGTGCTTGGCGCTGGGGGGGGGGGGGACGCTGCCCCGAGTAGAGCGTAGTGCCGTACGCCCACTCGGGATGTGTGGCAGTGTCAGCTGGCTCAGTGTCTAGTGTGTGTCTGTGTGCGTCGCTCAAGTGTGGCCGTCTCTCCGCCTCGCTTGCATCCCTAGTTGCATCCACCCCACACCGCGCGTGGTGTCCAGTCGCTGATCAGACTGGTCTTCACTTCCCTCCCTGCCTACCTCCCTCCCCAGGCCGGCACGGAGGCTGCGGCGCACATCCACCGGGACGGACTCGGCAGCTACATGCTCGCTCCGGGCGAGCTGCGGCGCTGCATCAAGAGGCAGTGCCGCGAGACGGAGTGAGGGGCGGTGGGCGGGTGGGGGGTCGCTGCTCGCTGTCTGCACGTACAGCGCGTCACGTCGCGATTGACGCGATCGGGATGCGCGAGCAAGGCGCACCCGGACAAGGGGAGTCGCAGCGTGGGGAGAAGGGGACGCACGGGAAAAGACAGTGAGGCGGCACAGTGGGGGGGGGGGGGGGCAGGGAGGCCGGGGCCGCTCTGCGAGCGGATGTTGGAGTCGCGGTCGACGGTCGTCACCCACACCCCGTGTGCGTTCAGCCCGGTTCAGGGACGAGGGAGTGTGGCGTGGTCCCCGGAGTTTGATTCTCATACCACGGAGACTGAAAGGGTGCGCCTTTTTGCACTCTGCCTGGCTCTGAGATGCGGTGGAGTTGTTTTCGCTCACGCAGTGTGTGCGCGCGGCGCGAGTCTTTTCTCCCATATCAGGCGTCAGAGCCTCAGCGCCTCAGGCTCAGCGCCTCACTGTCACCCTCAACGCTCAAGCTCAACATCTCACACCGGGATCCGCAAACTAACGTATGGCAATCTAGAGCTCGGTTGATGCTTTTGTGCCGCCTCGCTTCGAAGACATGTGAGATCCCGGTGTGAGATGTCTATTCGGGCAGCTTCAGTGGCCACTCTAGAGCGCAGTCATTCACATATGCTACGAGGTCACAGTGTGGGTTCGGGACGTATTCACAGCAGTGTCAGGTCACGTGGGGGTAGGGGAGTACCAGTATGGATGACGTCACGCATGACGTAATGCATGGCTGGATTTCTTTTTCGGGCGGGCGAAAAAAAAGTCGCGGCGCGGGCAATCCTGAGAGTGGGGAAAATGCAAATGCAGTGGATTCGCTGTGAACAGCTTCCAAGCTGCGACAGAAACCAAATCTCGTCACTTTAGCCATCTTTAAATCCAGAGAATTTTACACTCCAGTATCATTTTCTGAGGCGCGCCGATGACTGGCGCGGGCGAGGCGGAGCGTTCCGAGGCATAGTCTGACCTGCGGTCGGAGCCGCGCTCGGTGCCGTCCGCCTGCAACTCTTTCTGCTTGAGCGCCTCAAACTCCTCCCGAGTCAGCGTGCCGTCGTTGAGCAGCCTCTTCAGGTTCTCCAGCCTTGCGAGGTCCACCATGACGGGAAGCCGCCTGGATGGACGGTCGAGTTCCGGTGCGGGGCATCCGGCGAGCTGGCGCAGATCGTTGGGCGTGGGGATGGGGCTACCCCTTCATCATAGCGGGCCACCCCACCCCCAGCAAAGCAAAGCCGTGCCGCCGTGCGGGCGCCCAAATCTCCACCACCATGCTCCTCCTCTTACCAGCCCTCGGTTGGCAAGGAGCCCACCGTCGGAGCGCCCACCATCGGAGCGCCCACCATCGGCGGCGAGGTGTCGAACTGCATGCGCCTTCGCCTCCGAAGGCGCTGCAGGCGGCGCAGGCTGCCTTTCTGAGAACGCTGTGCGGCACCGCTGCAGGCGTGGCGGCCGGGTCGGCTCTGCACGCCGCGTTTCCTGCTCGCGGCCTGATCGACGGCGCTCTCACCGCTGTCGACGTCTCGGGCGGCGCGCTGCTCGGCGGGACGCTCGGTGTGCTGTGGGCGGCAGAGGCGGCGCTGCTGGGAAGCGGGCTCGTCGCGTCAACGGTGCGCGCCGCGACGGGCGTGCTGGGCGAGGATCGCGACCGCGCGGCCGGCGAGCGGATGCTCTCCGACGTGCGGCGCAGCCTAGAGACGCTTCAGCAGGTCGACGGGCCGCAAGGCGCCCTGCTGCGGGCTGCGCTCGACTTGTCCGGCGTGACCTCCGACCCGGGCATCGCCAAGCTGGCCGAGGCGGCCGAGGCGGCGAGGCGGGACGGCGGCCCGGTCGTGCGAGTCAACGAGCCCGCGCCGCCCGCCGCCGCCGCCGGGCGCGCGGACGAGCAGCAGGGCGTCGGGCTCGGCGGGCTACTCGGGCAGGTCCTCTGGCTGTGCGTCGCTAGGGGTGAGAGGCGTTGCGAACCAGCCCATGCCATCTGATGGTGACACCCCCATGCCGGCAGGTGCTCGTCGCGTCGCTCGAGGCGAAGCTGTTCGAGCTCCGAGCGGCCCTCCTCGTCGTGGGAGTCGCACTGGTTGGGAGCGTCGACGCGCTGCTGCTGCTGCTCGACGGGAAGTTGGGTGGAGGCGGCTCGTGAGCGAGAGTTGGCAGTTGCACATTTCCGCGTCTAGGTTAGGTTCCATGATACAGACAGCCTCGAGTTAATGAAGAAAGGTTGGAAAAGAATGGAAAGTGAACACAAAAGGTCTTTTCTCGCAGCTGCGAGACATGCTTTCTCGGAGCGGGGCATCCAAAACAACAGGGCGGAAGGGAGGGGTGACCATACGCGCAGCGCAGGAGGGGTGCCCCTAAGGGGGCACAAAGGTAGCTCAAAGGGGAGTGAACAAGACGCCGCACAGGCGACGTGCACGCTCGCCGCCTGCGCTCGCCGCGTCGCTCTCTCCCTCCCCTTCTTTGCTTGAACTAGGGAATAAAGAGAGCTTCTGCGAGCCGCGCTCGGCCCCTGTCGGGCGCGATGGCCGCGGCAGTACCGCCGATCGATGTGCACTGCGTTCACGCGGGGCCCGACGCCCCCGTCCAGGGCCCCGCTGCCCACCCGCTGGTGGTGGCTACTGCCGTCCTCCGCTGGGGGCCGGTTGCGGCTGCGCCGAGCGGAGCAGCGCGCGTGCAGCTTCCGCACCACGCGATGCTGCGCGTCTTTGGCCGGCGGCTGCGCCTCGCGGCGCCCCCCGCCGGTACTCCCGCCCCGATGGTCTGCCCGCTGGACCTCGCTCTCACCGGAACCGCGTGGGCTCGCTTTCTGAACGAGCTGCTCACGTGCGGGCTCCTCGACGCGGCCCCCTTCTCCTCTTCGGCTGCACTACAGCTGGCGATCGACCGCCTCGATGTGTCGCCAGCGGCGCTGGAGGTGAAGGAGCCCGATCTCCTCCCGGTGGGGGGCCTCGCCGCCGCGGCCGCGCTGGCGGGGGATGCTGCTCATGCGCAGCGCGGGGCGCCTCGCCGAGCCAGCGCCGCGGCGTCTGCGGCGAGGCCGGCGGCGGCTGCGCGCGCGGCCCTCGCGCCATGCCTCGCCCCGCTGGCCTGCACCCCGCTCTCCACCCTAGAGGTCGAGGGGGACGCGCCGTGGACCGTGATCGCCTACCTCTCCGGCATGCTCGGCCCCTGCCTTGGGCAGACCGAGCGCGATCGCGCGGGGTCGCAGGTGCAGCTCGGCGCCCACCTTCTCGCCAGCGGCTGCATCTCCGCGTACGGCCTCCCCCCGAGTGCTAACCCGCAACTACTGGCGAGCTATTTTAAGGACTACGTGCTCGCGCTGGAGGGCGCGCTGCCCCCTTCGCTCTGCGCCCCCAACGCTGCGGGGCCGCAGTGGCTGGAGGAGGCGCGCGATGCGGCGACCTACTTGCGCGACGACGCTGGCCGCCGCAGCGTCGAGGATAAGCGCCTCTACCTGCTCGCCCCCGGCGCCCCGCTCCTGTTCTCAGTCCTCGGCGACGTCCGGCGGGGGGGGGAAGCGCGCGACCTCGTGTTCGCCCTCGCCACCGCGCTCCTGCCGGACGCGCGCATGAGTGCGCCCACCACGCCGCTTGCCACCGCCGTGCGGCGCGTGGAGGCCTCGCTTGCCCCGAGGCAGGCTGTCTTGGCCGCTGCCTCTGCCAACGGCGCGTCCCCGCAGTCCGTGGTGGCCGCGCTGGTCGAACATGCCGCCTCGCTGCGCTCACCGAGTGCGGTGGCTGCAACAGACACGGGTGACTGTCCTTAAAATACCTTCCATCGGAGCTCCTACCTGGGTGACGACTCCAGCCCCCAAATACCGGACCAGCCCAAGGTGATGGCTCTAAAATTCCAGCCAGCCTCGGTGATGGCTCTATAATATACACCTATAGGTGAGCCGTCGGCAACCATGGCACGCTGGCTTCGCTTCGCTAACACGCTGGGGGCGCTCGAGCTCCTCGCCGCCGACGTCTGCGCCGCGGCGGCAGCGCGCCCGCATTGCCTGGCGCCCGACGATTTGGCCCGCCAGTTCATCCTGCTCTGTCGCGGGCGCTTCACCTCTTCGTCGACCGCGCTCGCTCGCCGGCCAGTCCCTGGCGCGGTCGCTACCGCCGACGGCGGCTCGGCGAGCGGCGCTGGCGCGCGCCTCGCTCGGGCTCGTTCGCGCCGCGGCGGCAGCGCGCCCGCATTTTGCCTGGCGCCCGACGATTTGTCCTGACAGTGGCCCGTCGCTCCCGCTCCGAAGCGCTGCCGCCGTCAGCACAAACCGCCGCCACTGCCGTCGCGCCCTGCGCCAGTGCGGCGGGGCGCCTAGCGCCCAGCTGGGCCTTGACACGGCATCCTACCGTCGGGGCAACTCAGCTCAACGATTGGGTGAATTCCGGATGACTGCGCATAATGGGGTTGACCCGCCGCGCAGCAAGCCGGTGTTCACGCCAATTCGAGCTACTACATCGCTTCACGTTCCGAGCCATACGCACCTTACAACAATGGGGCAGGAGTTAAATCGGCTCGCGCCGAGCTCCTGCTGTCGTCATCGTCGTCCTATGGGCGTGCGAGGGCGGCGGGCACCGACGGCTCAGCCGAGTCGGGTCGGTAAAGCCCTCCCACTGTTCTTCGGTGGCTCTGTCGCGAGACGGTTGGCCGATCGGAATCCATTAACTACTACGTGGAGTTCATCCCCTGATGAACGACTCATGGTCAGATTGCCCATCTCGACTGCCCGTTGTCAACATCACTAGGGAGATTTGATTGGCGCTGGCGCCTGCTGTTGACAAGTGGGATCATCTGGCTTCCGGAATACTTCCGCGAAGCTGCCCCCAGCAGGCGTTTGACCAAAATCCAAATTTCCCTACTCCAGTTGAGGCGGCCCTCGGACCCGAGAAGGTCTTTTCTCGCAGCTGCGAGACATGCTTTCTCGGAGCGGGGCATCCAAAACAACAGGGCGGAAGGGAGGGGTGACCATACGCGCAGCGCAGGAGGGGTGCCCCTAAGGGGGCACAAAGGTAGCTCAAAGGGGAGTGAACAAGACGCCGCACAGGCGACGTGCACGCTCGCCGCCTGCGCTCGCCGCGTCGCTCTCTCCCTCCCCTTCTTTGCTTGAACCCACCACCATCCCCTGTCACCTCCGTGTGTGTGTGCCTGCTGGGGGATCATCTGGCTTCCGGAATACTTCCGCGAAGCTGCCCCCAGCAGGCGTTTGACCAAAATCCAAATTTCCCTACTCCAGTTGAGGCTGCCCTCGGACCCGAGAAATAAAGAAAGCACAGGATCCCGTCGCACCGTCGTCGGCCCCGGCGGCAGAGCGCAGAGTGTGACGCGTGGGGAATGGCAGGGACACACCAGTCTTAGGGGCCAGCACCCGCAGCACAGCCGCCTGTCTGCCCCAGGTCATCACAGCCCGGGGTCGGCGTTGCCGATCTTGAGCCACTTGAGCGCCGGAAGCCGCTTCGCCGCCGTGGCCAGCGCCTCGACCTCGGCGGGCTGTGCCGCGCCGACGCCGTACATGGGCTGCGTCACCGAGAGCGCTCGCAGCGAGGTCGGGAGGGTCTCCCACGAGTGTGCGCCAAAGGGCCATCCGACCGACATGTTGAGCGTGCACCAGAGGAGGCCGGGCGACGCCGCGAAGAGCGACGCCCAGCAGCCGTCTCCGGTGCCGAGCCCGTCGGGCGTGCACTTGTCGATCAGCAGTCCGCGCAGGCTGGCGCCTTTGGCCGCAAGGGCCTCGACGACGGCCTGGGAGACATTCGACTCGAAGATGGTGACGACCTGCAGCGCGCCGCACCGCGAGATTGCGTCGGCGAGGGCGGGGGCGTCCTTGAACGAGTTGATGAAGAGGTGCGTCGTCTCGGAGGAGACGGAGCGGCAAAGTGCCTCCCCGGTCAGCCTCGAGCGGCCGTTGCTCTTGTCGACCATGTGCAAGTGGAGCGTGTCCACCACGGCCGCGCCAGCCGGCGCGTCAGTACCGCCTAGGCCGCAGTTTGGCGGCGGGACCCACACCGCCCTCTTGAAGCCCTTGATCTTTTTGAAGACGAAGCGGGCGCCCAGGGAAGGGTCGCGGCAGTACGCGCACACGCTGTAGACGTGGTCGGAGAGCCGTTGCAAGAGATAGGGGTAGCCAGCCGTGGTGCGGCCGCCCGGAAATTTGCTCGCTGCGTCTGCCGCGCCGCCGAGAGCACGTGGAGAGGGGTGGCGACTAAAGACGTCCACATCCTCGACGGCCTTCAGCCGCGAATCCTCGCCAATGTAAAATTCGCTCTTCGGAGGTGGGTGCAGAGCCGGCGAGGCGGCGAGGCGCTGCACGCTGGGCTTGCTGATGCCGCGCGACTGCGTTGTCTTGGGCTTGGAGGCGCGCCTCATGATCTCAGAGTAGGGGTAGGCGTGGTGGCCTGGGCCTGGTGGAGCACCCCACCCCACGCAAAGGGGCGGTTGCGGCCGCCTTCCCGCCAGCGCCACGGCCGGCCGTTTTTCTTCTTTCCGTGGGTGGACCCTGATCATCACGCATCGACACGTTGCAATACGGGGGCGCGGCGTGCCAGCCGCAGTGGCGCATCTCCACAAACGGCGCTGCGTGCGGCGTGGCATGGCCCGTTTCGTTGAGCAACCCAGACCTCGTTCTCCCTCATCGTGAGTGGTGTGGAGTGCGCGGAGCTAAGGTGCTACACGGTATCATCACTTGGCCCGAGCGAGCACACCAGGAGCAGGCGCACATCGCTTCCAGGGAGGGGGGCGCACTTCTCTGCACGCCCCACCCCCCCTAGCATGTGCTGGTGAAGCCTTCGGACCCCCCCCCCCCCCGGTGGGCATCCCCCAGCAGTTCGTGGGCTAGGAATAGCCGCCAGAGAGCCGATTTTGCCCCCAAAGTTGTGAAATCGTGGCTGAAACTCCAATATCTTGGAGAATCTGACCAGTCTCAAGGCTCATGTAGCTCCAAAGGATGATAAGGTAAGGTAAGGTAAGGTAAGGTAAATTTCTCCACACAGGGGTCGTCCTCCCGATGGGGGACTAGCACTAGCCGTCTTCCACATGGTCCCTCGGGTCGCTGCTGCTCCTAATCTCGTCGTACATCCTCCTGCTGATCTCCGCAACATCCTGCTCCCTCCCTCGTCTCGCCCTGCGCGTCTGCTCCGCCTCCCCGTCGTCCGCCCTGCGTCGTCTGGCGACGGGTCCTCCATAGTCGGTCGAGGTCGCCACCCTCCTCGTGCCTCTTCCCAACGTTCCGTCGGCGGCCGATGCCGTCAGGTTTGCGCAGATAAAACCCGCGACTCTTGTTTCTTTCTTTCTTTTTACATGGCGAGAGGGAAGCGCCCGGCCGCAGACAAATCCTTCCATGGTTTCCCCTGCAGGTATGCAGCCTCCCGTGAGTGTGTGTGGTGTGAGTGAGTGAGTGAGCGCTGAGTGAGTGAGTGAGTGAGAGAGAGAGAGAGAGAGAGAGAGAGAGAGAGAGAGAGAGAGAGAGGGGGGGGGAGAGAGAGAGGGAGAGAGAAGTGAGTGAGTGAGTGAGTGAAGTGAAGTGAGCAGAGTGAGTGAGTGAGTGAGTGAAAGTGAGCACACTCACACACAATGCAGCCCCCACCCGCGCCACTTCAGGAGGCCCTCTTCTTCCTGCCTCTGCCCTTCCCCTGGCACGGCGCATCGCCGCTGCCAGCTAGCCGTAAGTTGCGCGGCCGGAGCATCAGAGCGTCCTCAGCGCCGAGGGGTCGCACGGGATAGCGTAGCGGCTTGGCGTGGTCACCGGGCGCGCGCGTCCTTGGTGCTGCGACGACGGCCACCGCGCCGTTGAGATCCGGCCGGGAGACGACGCCGTGCACCACCACACGGCGGCCGGTAGGCAGAAACCGCGAGTCGAGGAGGAAGAGGATTGCGGCGTTGCGCGCCAAGTCGTCCGCGCACGCGAGCTCGTCCGTGTCGGCGTCGCTCAGCGCCACGCCGCCGCTCGCCGCTAGCAGCTCGTCCAGGCACGCTTCCACGTCGGGCGGCGGCGGCGGCAGCGCGGGAAAGGCCGGGCGGCCACATCGCTCGATGGCCGACGCGCCGCCCTGCGCGGCCACCATCAGCACGCGAGCGTTGCGCGCGTCATCCGCGTCCCCCAGGCCGCCCGTCGTGCAGCGAGAAAGCACGCCGAAGAAGCCGCCCGCGCGAGGGTCGGCCGCAATATCCGCCGGCACCTTCTCCCACTGCGCGGCCGCCGCGTCGTAGCGACGCTCGAACACGTGCCACGCACGAACCAGCCAGCGCACGCGCGGCGCGGCGACAGAGCCGCACAAGTTGGCGAGCACGCGCAGCGCAAAGGCGGGCATCGAATACGGCACGGCCTCGTCCCAACGGGCGACGAGCTCCATCAGCCGTTGGACGCATGGCACGAAGGACGCGCACGCGCAGAGCCGGCGAAATGTCTGATCGGAGCCCGGCCACTGCACGTCGGCGATGAGCCCGAGCAGCTCGAGGGCGCCGGACATCACGCGGAAGTAGCTCTTGGAGCGCTGCGGCGGCGATAGCTCCAGGTAGCGCTCCACGCACTTGAACGGCGCCCCGCCCTCGCCGGGAGTCTCGGGCGTGAACTCACACAGCCGAACCGGAAAGCACTGCTCCCCCTTGTAGTTGGTTCCGTCGTACACTTGCTGGGGCGCATAGTCTCCCTCGACCGGCCAGTCAGACCCCTTCAGATCGCCTTCAAAGCCCCAACGGGTGTGGGCCTTTGCGTCGTTCTCATTCTCGCGCAGGTCGGGAGTGTAGGCGATGAAGCTGCACAGCACGCCGAAAAAGGCGGGCGAGCGCTGCATCGCCAGCGTGATTTGGATCGCGACAGAGTCCGGGTTGGCTTCCAGCATCCGGCTGAGCCCCATAATCGAGGCAATCACCTCCAGCTCGTCAGCGTTGCAGTTCCCCAACGGGCCGTCCATCGGGCCGCTGCCCATGCTATCAAACACCATCGCCTCCTCGCCCATCAGCATCGCCTGGCCCGACGGAGCCAGCGCGAGTTCGACGTACCTCTCTGCCTTCATCTCTGGCGGCATGCGCGGGTCGATCATGCCCGCTGGGCGGCCGGACCAGTCACGCTTGGGCGGTTCGGCCGACGCGCGGATGAAGTGATCATTGTCGTGCGTGGCGTAGATGAGCGACGTTCCATCGTCGAGCAACACTTGGTAGGGCGCGCACATGCCCGAGGGGAAGTTCCGCTCCCGATAGAACAGTCGCTCGACCGTCCCGAGCGTCCAC